CGAGTCATACGTGTGGCATAAAAGGATTCTACGATTAATACTGGGTGGCTTTATGAAATTGTAAATAAGCTACCGACCCCATATAGTTGATGAAATTTTGCGGATCAGTCAAATATTATATAACCTCCAGTTTATTCTCTCAGCCAAACGAACCCTAGCGAGTTGTTTACCAACAATTTAATTCTCTTTCAGACAATTTGCTCTCCGACTTTATTCAATACGATTACGTATCATCGATACTTGATTTTACCTTTTGCTTTGAATTTCATTTTTACATTCATACGAAAACGATTTATTTGTCAGAAAAGAGATCAAATTATTATAATATCAATGCGCGGTATATCACTATCTGGATCAGGGTAGGGTAGACCGTTGATAAAAGTATTAACGTTCCTTTGATGGTATTATGAAAATAGTCTTGCAAAAACTGCGGTTCGAGAATCACGAGGAAACGCAGCATAGGTTTTCTATTTCTTTCTTAAACTTCTACGAGAGCACAGACGCAGATTCAAATAAAATTCAATTCATAATACGATTTTATTCTTTATTATTTTTTCAGGCTATTTCAGTTTTTATAACGTAATTTCTTCTTACTGAAGAAACATTCACACATTGAAGATTTAACTGTTTCTGGCATTGTCGACTATTCCTAAGATACCTTTCATTGAAATTGTCTTCAGTAACGCGACGTTATCTTAGCCAAGTGATTTTGTTCACTGTGCTAAACTTTCTACCAAGTAGCTACGTAGTGATGAATACAACCAACTACTCGCGTTATCGTAGTTACAAGAAAGTCAAAACTGGCTTCAATGATATCTGTTAAGCTGAATTGCATTCTCGAAGATTTACACAGACAAATGGGGAGGCCAATGAATTTCTGCTTGTCAATAATATGAATTTCACATATAAATGTGACATCAGTCATATGTATGATTCATAGAAGAAGAGATTTGTCAATGGGACATAGTGGTGCTATAATTACGTGATTGTATTAGGTAATTGTCCAAATTTGGAGCAATCCTTCAAATTTATTTCCGACTTTACCGAACGTCACACGGAACATTAATATTCAAAATTTCATAGTTCGAAGAGGCAGCGAATTCAGGAATGTGAAAATTTAAAAATATCAAACAGTCACGTCCAAAATGGAGAGCAGACTAAATTATTTTCTAATGAAAATCTAATTTCTTAATTTTCACAATAATTAAATACAACCGTGCATTTTTTGCAAGCGATTTTTAGTAACATTCTTAAAAAACAATCATAAATGACAGATCTTCCTCATGGGTCTAGCAGTCGCTTACTACGAAACGGGGAGATGTGCCCGATAGACCGGTAATGTGTTCAGTATTCGGAGAGATAATAAAATCCAAAAATTCGTTTGATCGAATCATCCCTTGTATAAGAGGGGTAATGTTGATACGTTAGAAAGCGAAAGGACCAGCAGCTTGTTTGCTTATTTATTTGCGAGTGTCCTGATGTCCCAGCACACTGTATTAACAAGCAAGTTCTGTATTAACCTGATTCTCTACCGGGCGTTCAGTTACGATTATCTTCAAGGAAATAAGTCCGGCTGACTCGGCGGAGCGAGTACATCGGAAATTGCTAGAACGGGAGCAATTTCAGAGTAGCATTGCTACTTATAATGGTTTTTTCGTCAATTTTTAAACTCTAATTTTTTCCGGATTGAAATCATCCGAAAGTCTTTACAAGCTGGATCGGTATAGCAGGTGAGCTTTCCTTTATTTTCTACGAAAATTATAAGAGTGTGAATAATATTTCCTGGGTTAGTTATTTCAAGTACGGTTTTTTTTTCGCGTGTACACTTTCTTATGACATAGCGATACACTCTGTCACGTGTGAACCCGGACAACTGCTATATAATATAATTTGAGAAAATGTGCTGAATTTGCAAATATTATTACAAGAAGAAAATAATATTTTCATATTCCCTTTTTCAGGAAAATAAAACGTAAATGTTATAGCCGTAAGATAAATTCTTATTGCCAATAATTTTTTTTGTCGAGGGTAATGTGTAGTATATCAATGGAAATCAATGGAAAAGCAATAATTAAATTTAAACAAAGACTTATGGCAATGGGCAATTTTCTTACGATAAACTTAGATACATGATACATATTTTTATGTATACATATTGTATATCATTATATACTACTATTGTTAAGTCACAGAAAACTCTGTGTGTTAATAAGCTGTTACTAAATATAATCTTTCCTTTAAAATACTGTTAGTATCGCGTGAGGTTTATTTTATTCAAACGCGAATTGTTTTTGATTTAATATTATTTTTTCATACTGTGATGTGCCTCATTAATAACGTGGCTTTAATGGTATCAGAATGTTATCAGAACAGTGCTTTGTTATTATTATGCAACAAAATGAGTTTCCCTTTTCGTCGAAACTTTTAATAAAGCCGCAAGCTCTTTACTGGATTGCACTGACGTACCTGCATATATTTAACGATATATTCACTTACAGACTTTTCTGCTCTGCTGGCCGTTTTCAATTACGGTTTCAACTTATGATGCAGTGAAAACTGGCGTTTCTTGTCATATTATTGCTCGTCATGTATCGCGGCTTCGGATTACCATAGGCGATATTAAAGTTACGTCACATACGCGTACACAACACGCATGCAGTTTTTGCAGCAAATAAGATTTCATATGCACGTTGAGAAAGTTTATACAAATGTTGTACGAACAAAAATATTTGCCGTTGAATTGGTACTGGAAACGCATATTCCCGGCATTGATTAATTTTTCTTGGACTTACCCGTACAACAGTTTCAATGTCAGCTTTTCCGAGATTAAACGGAAAACTTTGTGACAACATAACAAAACACGGTCATAATTTTGAAGCATTTAAAAGACAAAACTAAAAGATATCTTTGTGCTTTTTACACTAGATAGTAGTTTCAAGTCAAAGCATCCACCTCCTCTTTCTTGTCTTTCTTGATACAGCCAGTTTCTCTTTGCGCAACATTTTCTACCCCACCCTACGATTCCCAGAGGAATGCTCGCTTCAAGCACTACTTCCCACGAATATAAACTCAAATCGAGTTTCAAGTGTTTATCCACAGTCTCTGGGATGAATAATTCCCGAGCAGTCCTTGCGACAAGCTTTTTTAAAGTTGCAATTCTTAAAGAAGGAATCAACTTTTTAATTTTACTAAATTGTTTACCAAACAATGCTTGATCTAATACTTAATATTAGCTGGGATTATATATCTGTATATCTCATTCGAAAATTGTCCTCTAACAAAATAATATATTCTATACAATAATATTCGCTGAATTTCATTCTCATCGGCGAAACTTTGAACTTTCTTGATTCGCTCGGTAGGACTCAGCAATTTATCCTGTCTGTCTGTCTCCTGTCTCCCTATACAATACTATATTGAATATTTTCAAAAAGTAGTATATGGAATTAAAAAAATATTATTTCGAGTATTTTTAACCACACGAAATTAAGGTACTAATGTTTGAGTAGGAAAAATGTGTCTGTGACGGTATACATTTTATCGTGTTGTTTCCAATGCCGTCTCAGACACTTTTGCCCTAAATAAGACGCACCAAGATTTTGCAAAACATTTATTGACGGCTTATCCCGATACGGAATGTGGATGTAAGAATAAGCTCGTCGAAAGATATTGAACGATAAAAAAAAATAATTTCCATAAAGACATCAAGCAGCCCCATGGGCGACGCGAGGGACCGCAGAAAGATAGTAGAATAATAATGCAAAAGACTTTACGGATACGATAACGTATATACGTAAGTTCAGTGCAAAAAACTTGACAGAAACTCATATAAGGTGAAACAAGTAGTGATTTTGTTAACATGTATGTGAATGTAGTTAACACTTTTGAGAAATGTAGTGGGGACGCTTTGAGCAGGTGGACGGCTTGCGCCGTCGCTGCGTGCCGCCACCCCGTCTTTCACCCTAACCTTTGACCCTCAACTACCAATCCAGGAACCCATGATATCCAGTTAGTCAGGCGTAATCGCCTTGTTTCAGTCCGTTATTCGAACCAGGTGTTTCATTCAACCATTCCGACAAAAATTTTATCCGCCTATCGAACTGGTTACAGCGATAAAACGATTCGATGCTAATCCGTCTTCATTGGATAATTTACGTATATGAAAAATGTCGTGTTTACAACACAACTAGAACTGCTTAATCGGTATGAAGGCTCCTGAAATTCTCTTTAGAAATTTTCTTTTTTTCCTCATTGCGTTTTTCTTACTCAAATGAGATATTTACTGTTGGCACCTTATAAGATTATATAAATTGACATCTAAGTGTTCTACGAAACCTTATTGAAATATAATTTTTCATTTATCGTGCAGTAGTATATTTTTTTAATTTCAATTATTAAATCCATATAATCTTTGGCACGATTTAAATGAACTTTATCTAGATGCACCATGTGATCTGAGAAGCGATGCTTTATAAATTTGCACAACTGATCTCTGTGAAGTTAGCCGGACAACTTCGGCTTTTTTAATTTTCTCGTATAAGATCGAATGTTGGTCGTTTGTTGCCGACTGTTAGGTTAATAAAAATGTTTGTTACCCATAACTAACAAAACCTAACCTAAAAAAACCCATAAATTTTTGTATAAAATCGAAAACAAATTTTGGTATTAATTTAATCGACGCACGTGAAATTTTCTATATATTGCGTTTCAAAAGGCAGTTAGTCGATGAGAAATCGTTTATTGTTCATGAATATAATAATTAAAACGTTTCTTAGGTTATAGTTCGATCTAAACAAGCGAAAAACTATATGCTACCCAAATGGCGCACTTGGAACGGTAGTACCGTAAATACCTAAATTTCACCTTTGACCGACAGAATTTGACAAATCCGTGTGAGTCGGCGGAGTAAGTTCGCGAAAAGAACCAATCATCGCCTAGTCATCAGCCCCTCCACTTTGAAACTAATCATCGGACCAATATTCCTGAATATTTACGATTAGCTCCCACTGCTACCAACAACGGCAAAAGTACCATTGGCACTACCGTTACCATCATCGCCACTACCAACTGTACTACCACCTGTACCCAGCATCCCCCATCATAGAGGTTTCGTATCCGACGCGCCATCCAGCCTGCGCCACTCGCCTCCACTTCTGTAAAAGAGCCAACGCGCATCGGGAATCTCGTTCACTCACAACCACCCGATCGCCGAAGAAGCATCAGCTGATTCGTCGCTCCAACCCTTGTTCTTCTCTGCTAATCACTCATCGTGAGGAACAACAGTTCGTGACTATTCAAGATGAAGAACACGGCAATCCCGACATCGGGATGCTCGGTACTCACCATTGCCTTGATTCTTCTGGTCTCCTTCAGCGTCGAAGTTTACGCGAAACGTGAGTAACGTAAACTTATAACAGAAATACTTTCTTACTTTATCAGTTTCCTGTTTGTCAGGACTTTTCTCTGTTCTAATTTCCCGTTCCGTCGAAAAGCTGATTCTTCGTTTAGACTTTGGGTTGGAATATTTTTTTTCACTTTCGTACCGCTTGCTCAGGTAGTATCAGCTTATCAAAGAAATGTTAATTGAAATTATCTTTTTTTAATAAAAAATAACAGCTGCTCCTGTCTTGTATTTTAAGATATTGTCAATTAGTCCGGAAGCTCTGTTAAATTTTATTTCATAAATGAGCAAATTCGTAATATGAATATGTGACATACGTGTTACTTAATGCCATCAAGTGGAATTTGTGCATTTCATTTTTGCTAATAAACTGTTGTTTTGTGTAATTCTAATCACGGTGTAATCTAACGTATAGGTAATTACATATTTCTTTGTACAGCAGGAAACGTATGCCCATACATTTTTTATGTGTAAAAAGTAAAAGTCTTACGAACAATAAGAAACGTGTTGCGTAGTAAGAATGTCAAAGGAAAATTTTATTATGAGAGAATATTACACTTTGAAGTTTGATTGTGATTTCCGTTAGACCCCAATTCAAATGTATATTGTATCGTTTTGATTATTCGCACATTGAAATCAGAAATTACCTCAATCCATGAATGAACTTCACTGACAATTGTCTGAGGGGGTGTGATTGACAGTTCTGCTTATCTCGATATACGGGCAATCTTGGAATTAGAGTTTGAAGGCAAATCGCGTCGCCACGTTTTCTACAGTATTTATAAAGTTATTTAATTAAAAGTTATCTCAAATATGTATCAAAACTTGTATCTTTATCGAATATAACGTTTTAACATTTATTATTAATTTTGGCACTCTTAAACCGTACAGATGGGTCAATTATAATATTTCCGATGGGGTTTTAGTTTTCCGATGAATTGATACAGTTAGGAATCGCACGGACAAAAATGACTCATCGGTAAGAAGTAAGGGTTAATGTTAATATTAACGTTGCACTTTACCTGTAGGAAAAATTCTTGTTATCGTTACGTTTGAGCCCGAAAGAGTTTCTCGTTTCCTGGAAAAATATTTTTCTTTGTGATAACTCAAATCCATGATTCCAATTAACCCTACGGCGGGCAGGCCTTTTTCATCGTAACGAGCGGCGTCTTGTACTTTGTACATAACGAATTATTAGTTGAAAAAATTAGTTCAGATGTTAAATAATGAAAAGTCATTTATTAGATGATACAATATTATATATGTATTATGTTTTAGAATATGAAAGTAAGTATAATGTTTCACATCCTTTTAACAGGCTGTGCTATAAACTAGAGGTTGTCGAGGACTCACTTCCTTCGAGGGTTTCAAGACGTGGGAGACATGATGTAGTTATTTAGAAAAAAATTTTGGAAACTTCTAAAGAAATATTTTCATTTGCATATAATTCATTGAAGGAAATATAAACGGAAATAAAATCTAAAAGTCATGTGATACGACGAAATAGATGCACTTACTTCGATGGAGATGCCATATTCGCGTACGTTTTACAACACGTTGAAAACATTTCAAATTCGCTTCTTCGAATCTGTCCAGTTAGGTAGTTAGTTAGGAACTGAATTTCAAAATCAATTATAAAACGATTTGCCCCGCCAAAAACAGACCAATGTATACAAAGTACACGTGCGCGCCCGCCGAAGGATTAATCAATGGTGTAACATTATAATAACGGGCTACTTTCTTTACAAACTGCATCGTATTAATAACTTGGATTACTCAGAAATATTGGATCCAGACGTAATCTGTGTTTATTCGTTCATTAATATGAAACTTAACATTTCTTTTCAGACTGTACGCACAACAGGGCATTTTCGTTACGTTAGAATAGATATGAGTAATATGAAAACCTTCTCATAAAATTGTCATCATGTCTAAATTTAAATAATTAACTATAACAAGAAATGTATAAAGCTTTTCATAAAAACGTAATTACAAATATAAAAACATATGTTGTCTACGATAACAGTAGGTAAACCTGATATATTGCTCGTACAATCTCATGTATAAAAAATTGCCTAAATCACGTTCATTTAAAAAAAATCCTTTATAACGTTACTACACGATAGAAAATTTGACGAGTTCCGTTTCGTTCCATTACATTGAGTTCTTGAAAATCCAATCTTGCAAGGTTCGTGAGTCTTGTTAGATATTACAACAAAAAGTTGAATTTCGCAAACGTTTAGTCTCTTAAAGATATCGAAGAAGATATTGTTATCACTAAGCCGATATTATTCGTATTATTTGCTTTCGAATGAAACTTTTTTATGTGAACGCCCCCGCGATCCGTCTAAGTATTCCCCTTAATGAAGTGCCCAGGGATTCTTCCGCCTAACTTCGAAACCAAGGCCAATTCATTGGAATGCGAAACCTTGAAAGAGCCTTTGAGGTATTGTCACGTATAGTCACTTTGAACACTATCATCATCTGTAAAATATTACGTAATTCATTGTGATATTTGGCGATATATTTCACTCTAAAAATATAAACATTCTTGTCGTACGTTCGTTTTGAGGAAGGAGCAAAAAATTGATGAAAAATACATAGCGTTAATGGGTACGTTAAAATTCTAGGGTTAAATGATATGTCGAGTCGTTGTACCGTGTCGTAATGAAGCAAAGTAGCTGTATGTGATACTCGGCTATTTTTTTTTTAAGGTAATTCATTGGACTTGTAACGAGAGGCCTTTAAGAGTCTCAGGGGATGTTTCGGTGAGAATGAGGGATAATTAAATTATTTAGCGAGCTTTAGAAGTCTCCGCGGTGGGATTGGAATTTATCGTAACGCCCAGCACGTATCTTCGCGATGAAAAGGAAATCGTGCTAGATTCTCGCTCGGCTGCTTGTCTGCAATTTTCTTCGTTATTTTCTTTGAGTAACGTAAATCGTCTGTTATAGAAGTAGAAGCAACTTAACCAGGAAGGAACGCACAAACGATTCGGCTAAAAGTGTTTCATACGAAGGTACAACTTCATGTTAATTTTAGATGAAACGTATTTTTAGCTTATCGGTCGGCAAGCTGCATGGGACGATTAACGTAGAGTTGAGTTGTTCAAGAATTTTCACGTAAAAGTACAGTTAATTTCTTTACTCGCAATAGGCGTTTTTTTAACATCGTTTTTGGCAATTCCTATAGGAACACGATGGTGAAGAAGATACATGTACGGATGATGCTTGGGAGATATTTGAAATTTTTATGATCCGAATTAGGAGCTGATCCGAAAAGGCCACTTTATCATATCTATTATTAAATGGAAACTGGTTAATGGAAGATTCCTTGGTTTTTTTTTTATATTCCTAAGAAGCAGGTTTGAAAATTAAGTCAAGATTCTGAAGCCCGTACACACATTTCCGAGCTGTTTCGTTTTTCAATGAATGGACAAGTCGAATCATACTGAAATGTGAGACTTTTTTAATTTCCGCTTAATCCTTTCTCCCTTGGTCCTAACGGCCTGTATGCGTTTATTTGTCCTCGTACGTCGTCCATTCATATCCTGAACGGGATTCTTGGTAAATTACATTTTCACACAGACAAAAATATAGTAGAATGTTTTATTGGCGCATTACGTTTTCCGATTACGTAACTGGATAAATTTCACGAATTGTTCTATATAGTGGCTGTGTATTGATTTATCCATTATATTACATTGTCACTAAAGCCGACGACCCTCAATCATTATATCGATGATTGGTCATGATAGGTGTTCCTTCATAGCCAAATTGTGTTTCAATATTACTGTCTCGTGTATCAGGCCTAATAACTGATCGTCTATTAGACTTCGATGGTTATATAATTTCCATTTTTCATTTTCAACGCTGATGTTCAAATCGGCTTGGAAAGATGCTTGAATTGCATAAACTCAGTGCATTGAAGCACTCGAGTATCTCAAAGGTTCTTTCAAGGTATCTATGCTTTGAAAAAGGACTTAACCTCGAAAGCTCGAAATCGTATTTAAAGACAAAAGTTGAGCAATGAAAAGCTTTCGAGCACTTGACACTCCAAAGGGGAATCACTTTATAAAAAAATAATTGGTTTCATGATTCTTATTGCGGAGGAACTTTAAATTGCTCGTTTCATTACCAATCGATCATAGTCTCGTTAGCTGTCCAGTGCGGACGGTATAGGAGGAGGAGAGCATTATGGGCCAGAAGTGACGAACACTTTAAGGAACTTTAGAGACTCCGACTATCAGCTTTGAGTACCGCATTCTACCTGTGGTTAACTAGCCTCGCTAAATGCTCTCGTTACTAATCACGTTAGGCGAAAATTTCTCGCAACAATAAAGTCTTGTGGGTAACTTGATTTTACGCCTTCGTAATTATTTTCTTTATTCTTATTGCCGTTGCAATTGTGCGGTTAGTTGATTTTGTATTTTAACGAAAATCTTTTATTTCTGCATTAACGTTAAATGTAATCAGTCAAGTATACGAGGAAGATACCTGTTTTAAGTGTCTTTTTACATTTTTTTTTTTTTTCGATATTTACGTATCCAGTAGAATAATTTGAATCTCGGAGAAATTACTTTTTTTTCTTCTTTTAACTAATGTTGAGAAAAAATTCAGAGGCTAGATTGGAAATAAGATTATAAAGTTTTCAGGAATTTATATTCGGTTTAAGAATGGAGCGATTTCTATCTAAGTTCTTTTGTGGAGCTTGCTAAATTTTCTACGTGCTATTTGTCTGGAATGATCAATAATAATAATATACGTATAATTGCAAATCAGCTTGATTTTTATGAAAATGTGATCGAAACTGTTTTTATTATTATTACTATGCGGATACTCGATAGAGGAACTTCCTGGCTATCGTCAGGATTGTAAATGGCGACTTTAGCTTTCTACGTGGAATAACCTATTTGCGAGGTGATTCAATTCCAGACTACTATGCCAATTTGCACCCTTGTCACCGTGATAACAGAAGTATAGAAAGATAGAT